CACACACACACACACGCATAAATAGTGTAAACTCAAAGGTGTTTCTTCAATTAGATGCGACTTACGATGAAGAAGCTAACAGCGTGCGGAAGAAATGTTGGGGCCTGTGCAAGAAGATGTGGCAAATCACCATCGTCGTGTTTGTCGCGGTGAATGCCATTCTGCTACCATATTTAGCAGGTTTGTTTGTTTGTTTGTTTGTTTGTTTGTTTGTTTGTTTGAACCAGTCTTTATTCATGAGAAGATTAAATCGGTCTGCAGGCCACTTTTCACCCAGGTGATGAGGAAAGAGGTAAGGGTCAGACATAACATAGAATAAATTATCTTAGTTATCCTAGTACTTTATAATTACCTCCGTTTTTTTTATCTTTTTGGTGGCGTATTAAATTAGTACACTGGCCACCATATCTACTACCAATAGAATTCTTTGGGCCTAATGTTTCTTTTTATAAGAAATGGTCTGCGCTATCATCATCATCATTGATCATCATCCATCCGGAGTTAAAGGCATCCAATGCAATTTAAGAGCGGCAAAACTCGAAATATTCTGAATGAGGCAATCTGTATGACGGTGACACATACTGTCCCTCTTTAGCAAATTTGAATCAGTATTTCATACTTTAGGCATTTAAAACTGCAGAAACAAGCCTCAAGATGAGTCCTTTTATTTTCTGGGCGGTACCCTAAAAATCAATCCAGATCCTTTCAGCAACCGTTTTTAGTCAGAATTTTGGACAATTTTACTCCATGAATGTCGATATACATTGGGTCAGTGTTGTTTTAACTTAGTATGTAGATAAGTGACTGAAATATTGACCAAGCCGAAAAACTGCACGGGATGCCTTCTCTTAAATCCGGTGATGTAGGTTTGATATGAATGAATGAATGAATGAATGAATGAATGAATGAATGAATGAATGAATGAATGAATGAATGAATGAATGAATGAATGAATGAATAAATGAGCGTTATTGCTCGACAGTTTACAGGGTTCGATGTATGGTAACAATGACAATTACATTATACAACAATACAAGTTTATTATAAAAACTAGGACTACAGAAATATGGACGTAAATGGCGTATTGACATATATTGAACGCTCCTGTCTGTTACAATACATCCTCTCTTATGTAAAGCACTGCATATAAATTGGCCTAAGTACGTAGATATAGAGTCGTATGGAATGACATAAGTAGATTGAAAGTGTCTATGATTTTGGCAAAGGTTTAATAGATTTACATGTGATCAAATTTCGTTTATCTTCAGATAAAGTCAATCAAGTACCCCCTGTCCCTCATGACGGTCACTATAGCAGGCCCTGTCTCTGTGTTTATAAACTTAGTACACCCTGTTCTTTTGTAAACAGTAAAAAGCAGAGTGAATTCTGAAGATATTTTCAAGCTGAGCAGGAAGACAGAACTGCGTCTAGCCGAGCTAACCCGTAAGTAAAATAATGTAACAATCATAATTGTAGGATTATTATTCATTTTCCCTTAGCTGTACTTTGCTATGATTTAAGTCATTACTGGAAGGTGAAATTCCGTGGGTTCTGGGAATCTTCTTTATGAAAATAAAACTATTCTTTTTATACCGATCAGGATCGAACAAACTTCCGGGTTTCGTGGGACCACCTGGCCCTCCGGGAGAAATGGGACCAATAGGGCCCGCTGGTCCTCCTGGAGAAAAGGGGCCCATGTGCATGGGGACGGCTGGTCCTGGGTCTATCGGGCCTCCTGGCGCTTTTGGAGAAAAAGGAGCCACGGGGCCCGCTGGCCCTCCTGGACAAAAGGGGCCCACAGGACCAATCGCAGACCTGAATGAATGTACCAGGAACCCATGTGAACATGGACGCTGTGTGAACAACAATGGTGGATACAAATGTACCTGCAACCCTGGATGGACTGGACAGAACTGTCAGCAAGGTGAGTTCTTTTTAGTGTGTAGCAGCCACAGGTTCAATGTAGTGTCAAGGAATTTCTGTTCTTTACTTTGTCTAAGGTCCCTGACTGAGTGACTATCATGTTTGGAATATGGTTAGAATGACCAACATCTATGTACAGTACCGTAGTTGCTTATTAGCTAGCTCTATCTAGCAAATTTTGAAGAGTTGTTTTTTTTTCTTTTGACGTAGACCTGAATGAATGTACCAAGAAACCATGCCTACATGGACGCTGTGTGAACAACGATGGCGGATACAACTGTGCCTGCAACCCTGGATGGACTGGACAGAACTGTCGACGTCAGCAAGGTGAGATTTAATCTTATTTCCTGGTAAAATCATGATATTTTTGCGCATCTAGATAGGACAGAGATTCTTCAAAGAAAAGTTTTTAAACTACGTAAACTGAGTTAACGTTTAAATACAGTAATTTTATGTTTCAGCCAAACCATGCCCTACAGGGTGGAGTGGATATGAGAACCACTGCTACAAGTTGATGAAAGGCAAAGTCAAATGGGGAAAAGCAAAGGAACGGTGTGAACAACTCGGTGCGAATCTGGCTTCTGTCACAAGCCGTGACGAGGCCAACTTCATCAACACTATCATCACTGACGGTGGGTAATACAACAAAGCTCCTTATCACACCAGAATGTTTCAAGGTAGATCTCAGAAACAACACAAAAATCGACTGTCCTAATTCAGTAAGTTATTCTCAAAATTCAGGTGCCTAACCGCTTGGGTCACGTGACCTTTTGGACACGTGACGTCAACATTTCGTACTAGGGAATGAATAGCGCCCGTCGTCTTTGTTCGTTGATTGTCAACAGGACAGGTCAAAGATTCTCACCTAAAAGTCTAATCACATACTGGGGGAACATAACATGTCTAACTGGCTAACCCGGCGCATAATTACAATTTGTTTCAATTACAGCTCCTGTAGGGCAGTGGGGTATTCATCTCGTCTGGTTTGGACTGCATCGCGATGATGGATTCCGTAAGTTTACGGATGGGTCAAAGGTTTCCTACACAAACTGGCAGCCGGATCAGCCCAACAACAAACGCAATTTATTAACAGGATTCAAGCCACAGGACTGCGTCGGCATGTACTCAAAGGTGTGTGCTCGACTTTGCTGAGATTGCATTTTTAGGTTTGCTAGACTATATTATAATTATAATGTCATGTTGAAAAGTTGATTGGGTAAAGAAAGAAGAAGGACAAGGATTGGTTAAACTGGAAGAAACCTGGAAGTGATTTGTAAAACTTAATTCCATGTTTTTGTTCTTTCTTCGACAGAGTTGCAGGGGCTGTGGCGGCCCCTTTTTCGCGCTCCAACATGTGCATAAGGGATGGTGGAATGATGACCAGTGTTTTCGTCCCTATCCGTTCATCTGCAAGCGTCCAAAATGACATTCTTCCCTATCGAGACCTTGTCTCTCGGCTATTCCAAGATCAGGGTGTACCAATGGCATCCTGCACAGTCTGTAATATCATTCTCACTAAATATTCATTACATTAGTTCTGTAACGTCATTTCACACTTGAAACAAGTCATTGGAGGAGACAACTAGTTTTGCTGTTATATGCCAAAGGAGCTGTAGTGAACTTGAATCACGTTGTAATATTGTTTTTACTCAGTTTCTTCCTCCTCTTCTTCTGTTCCAAACACTAACCTCTGACCTGGCCAATGACATGATGTGTTGACGTCTGCCACCATGTTGACTGGTGTTGGGTTACATAATGTTGCGATTTCATGGTCTACCATACTCCTGTCACAGTATACTCGTAGTAACGTTACATGTATGTGAATGTGTTTGAGTAAGAATTAACACGGCAGACCATGTCCGAAGGTTAACATTATGCATTTGCTTTACTTCTCTAGTTGGAAGATTCTTAGTGTGCTTAGATTTGAGTGGAAACGATGTTTTAACGGTTTGAAAGTAATAACCTAGATGGAAGTAGTTTTCTGTGCTAACTAAACCGGGTTACACACTCATCTTATGTCAAAAATAAAATAGCTGTCACTGCTATGGTTGTTTTATGTAGCAAGCAAGTAAATTTTAAAGACATCGTGTCATTTATTAAGTTCTGATTGCATATCATTGGGAGGAAGGAATGGCTGTATTAAGCTATAGCTATTGAGAAGGATTGTATCAATTAATGCTTATCTTACTTTACTTTCAAATTGCCTTGGTGCATAACATGTAGTGTCCAATGTAGAAAGACAAAAAGTATTATACCCTATAAGTCGTACAGATTTGCATACTGATTGCAACATATGCTTATGTTATGTGCATTATATGTTAAGGTTTTATCCCTTTTTAATCATTTGTAATGGGTACATGAAATATTATTAAGCCATGATGGAATCGTTGTTAAATATTGAGGAAAATGTTTTGTTTTATACTGTGAATGTCTCTGTTAGGCCACACCAATTTAATTTGTTGGTTCTCGGATTTTTTCATAAAAGATATGAAGCGACAGGGCGAAAAAATAAAAACAGGTCTAGGCATCCTATTACAGCTCCAAATACTACGATATTAGTAACACAAAAGGCTAGGTTAATATTTTAACAATGAGTTTTGAACTTCTGATCAAACCACTGCATTGATACATGGAAAACCTGTAGGAACTAAGAAGAAAATGATTTTCCTCAACTGTTGGGGTCAAAATATGAGCATTTTTAGTTGATTCAGGTCCAGAATCTTTTTTTTTTGCAAATCAGAAAAAAAGGAAGAGGCGAATCTGAGAACCAACAAATTAAATTGGTGTGGCCTTATAAGAGAATGATGTTACTTTTGAATATTTGTAAGGAACCCGCAATTCAGCCAATAGGCTACGAGAGAGATTCCTATTTTGAATAAAGTATTCATTCATTCATAAAACACTTGGTGCATGTGCTGATTCCATTTCCTGTTGCCCAGTGTGCATCAGAACACATAGTACATATTACTTGCGGTCTTGCAAGTTGTAGTGTGAAATTACTCTCCAAGCAGAGGTTCGGGTTATTTTTGTCATGTTTTTAGACTTTTTTTATCGGGGTTTGTTTTTTTGCACTGGAATTTTTCTTTCTTTTTTGGGTTGGGTGAAAGAGAAATTCCAGTGAACAAAAAAAAAACGATGAAAAAGTCTAAAAACACGCCAAAAATAACCCCAAACCCAATCTCTGCTTGGAGAGTAGTGTGAAATGATGAAAGAGACACCTAAATTTCGACATGACTCCAATAATATGTTTTGATGCCCATACTTTGGGAACAACGATTGCACTCACCACACAGAATATGACTTCATCATCATGAGATGTAGTCAAGGAAATACACGTTTCATCATTTGTGTAAGAATATGTCCCTGCCAGATATATAGAACTATAATAATTGCAGGAGAACTATAATAATAATAATTATATTATATTATATATATTATAATTAGAACTATACTAATTGCTTCTTTCTTGGTGGAGGAAATGGTGGGTTGACATTGAAAAAAGTCTTCATGTAAACATTTCCTACTCATTAATATATTTGCTGTCATAAGTTTTATAAATACTAACATTGCTAGTACATGAATGTTACAAATGACTATCTTTACAGTTGGCCATGTAAGAAATACCCGAGTTTCTTGGTGCATTGTTTATGCACAAACACCATCACTTATTGGAATTGTCTCTGTATCATCAATTATTCAAAACATCTTGGAAATATTAGTTCTAAGCATAATGTAAAATCTCTTCTTGAGTAGATGTACATTTAGTAATACTGTAAAATTGACTTCCTAGATTTCTATCATATCTAGCCAGTTGCACACAACAATTACATCATAAAACATAAACCAAGCAACTGGACAAATCCTAATTTGAAAAGTTATAGATTGAGTATAAATCCCTGATGAAATAGTCTTAGTCACAGATAAAAGAAAGCAGATCCTATCTAGTATTTGAAATGTCTGACTTTTCAGCAAATTTATCCATGTTGCGTGGTTTGTTTTATCAAGAAGATTAAAGTTTTAAACTCCTTGATTCTGTATTACATAATGTATTTCAGCAAGTAACAGGTACAACTACTTGGACTTTTAACCAGCACCGGTCTTGTCCAAAACTGCCTGAGCTTTTCAGATAATATATCCGGTTGCTTGATTTATTCTATATTACGAAATGCTCAACCTGAATGTCTAACCTTCATCCACATCAATACTAGTAGGTGTAACTACTTGGACTTTTTACCTAGTGTACCAGTTTTGTCTAAAGCTGCCTGAGCTTTTCAGAGAACTTATCTGTATCTGGTCGCTTGATTTATTAGATTGCTAGATCGCTAGGTTGCTAGATTATGTAATGCTCAACCTGGATGTCTAACCATCATCGACATAACAGCGAGAACTACTTGGACTTTTTTTTTACCTGCACCGGTCTTGTCTAAAACTGCCTGAGCTTGGCTAATTTATCCACATGCCTGGACCAGCAAAATTACATGTAAAACTTTGCTAACTGATACATTCTGTGTCAAGTAGCTTAAAATTCCTTGATTTAATTTGTATGATATAATGTTCTATGTGGATTACTAATCTTTAACATAATATATTGCATTATTTGACTTTTTACCAGACCCAGTCTTGTCTAAAACTGCCTGAGCTTTTCAGAGAATTTATCTGGTTGCTTGATTTATTAGATCGCTAGATTTAGTAATGCTAAACCTGGATGTCTAACCTTCATCCACATCAATACTAGTAGGTATAACTACTTGGACTTTTTACCTAGTGTACCAGTTTTGTCCACTACTCCCTGAGCCTGACTAACTTTACCACATGCCTGGACCAGCAAACAGAACGGAATGACGATCCAGAAGCTGTTGAGGAACATGAAGTAGAACCAGAAGTAGAGCGGGTGCCACATGGGGCCGTGTACGAAGCCATCTTTGTACTCAATGGTGTAGTAGAGAATGTCGCCGTAGAGCTGGCCCGTGGAGACCTTCCAGAAACAAAATTAGCATATTTTAACGCAAATGATTGCTCTTTAATACTTAATATGTATATGCCAAAAAGCAGTTACTCAAGCAACTGGATATGATTTTGAAATATCCAAAATCATATCCAGTTGCTTCAGTAACTACTTTTTGGCATATCGTATTATCTGGATGTCTAACCTTCATCGACGTATCTTAGTATGACTGTATATTTTAAACTTTGTAAATTCAACAAAATTCTGGCCATGTAAGACTGCAAGTTGGCTTCTTTTAAGCGTGACGTCAACACTGGGTCAAAGGTATCTGGGAGACGATGTCGGCCCCATCGCGATTAAGTAATTTGATGGTGGGCCCTGATGTATATAGCCTCCTTCACCTCTCTCATTACATACCTTTGACCCAGTGATGACGTCACACTTCAAAGAAGACACGTGACAAGCCTCACTGGGTCAGTCTACTGAGGAAGACCAGAGTGACTGGTCGAAAGCTCTAGGTGAGAAAACTTTTTGTGTTGGACCAAGAGTTTTAACTTTAAACATGTAACTGTCAACACAGATATGATCCATCTATTGAACAGTCACTGTTTGTCTTAGACAGTATGTCAAAGACGTATGTGGTAGTTGTGTTAATGCCTGTGTAAATAAATGTAAATAAATGTGTAATGAATTTGCATGTACAACTGGACGTAATTCAGCCTTTGGTCCAAAGTCCACATTTTTTTATGAATAAAACACCATTTGATTGATTTGATTGACAGATGAACTTTCATGGCAGTTCAAATTTGATTTATATATAAAGAATTGAAGAACTGATGATACCAGGAGTTGGAGAAGGTAGCGGGAGGGTTTGTTCTCCAGTATGGCCCACGCTGCCAGGAAGGACCCGGGACCCTCCAGGAATGCCGTGATGCTCTCCATTACCACAGTGAAGTTATCGGCTCTGGAGAAGGAAAGAAACAACATGTAAGTCCGAAAATAGTTTTATGAGGTTGGTAGAGTATAGCTATAGGATATAGAGATTTTCTTTTACACAACAGATATTGTCTCTCACTATGTTTGAGACTGTGTTCTCGCTGCAAAAGTGCCACCTACATCGGCTACATATAGCTGCAGCATTTAGAAGCAGAACTCCAGTCAGAAGCTCTGAGGAAGGTGTCTCATATAGACACCAAAACATAAGAGGTAATATCGATTGTGTGAAAGAAACCCCTATATACTGTCAAATCTACCAATGGTCCAAGATTTGAGCATTTTAATTCATAAAGTACAAGTTACTTCAACTAACGGTTCAAACTTCAAATTAGAAATAGATGAGGTTTGTTCTACAGGAAGGACCCAGGGCCCTCCAGGAACGCAGTGATGCTCTCCATCACCACAGTGAAGTTATCAGCTCTGGGTAAGGCAAAATGTACACGTGTAAGTCTTTGGGCATAGTCAAACCTGCCAAGGGAACCACCTGGCCATGGTGACAGTCCTGGAAACTTATCCCATTGGTTTAGCAACCTGGCCAGGGTGACCACTTGGTTAACATGACATCAGGCATATTCAGCAAACAGTATTCACTTCAAGCACTAAAGTAACAGAATCCTCGGATGAGGAAACTACTAGTACATCTGTTCCCATTTTTATTTCTTCTTCTTCTATAAAAAACTATATCTATATAGAGACAAAGTTTGATAGAAGCAACTTTTTATTTCATATTCAACAAGTTCAAGCACTGCAGTTACAGAATCCTCTAATCAGGAGGCTACATCTTGTCCAATTCTTATTTCTTTTTCTTCCCCTTTGATGTTTTGTCCATCTGTGTCTGTGCCTTGCCTGCGCCATCCTTCCGTATTATGAAAAACTTAAACTTTTCTCCAACTCAAAATTTGACTCATCAGAAATTTTTGACTGAATCACTCAGTCTTCCTCAGCTATCTGACCCAAATTTCTGGTGAGTCAAATTTTGAGTTGGAGAAAAGTTCAAGTTTTTCATAATGTTATTTACCAACTCAGATGAACTTTCATGCTGATCCTTCTGTATGACTATATCATTAGGAATGTGAGGAAGATAAAAAAATCATCTATATCAAGACAAAGCCTGATAGAAGTAACTTTTATTTTATATTCAGTCAAAAAAGAAAGCGAGCCACACAAATTATCTATAAAAACTATGTAACTATATCTATATCAAGACAAGTCCGATAGAAGCTTTTGATTTCATGTTCAGCCATTTGTCAGCAAATAATTTACTTCAAGCAGTCACAGCAGTTACAAAATCCTCTAATCAGGAGGCTACATCTGTTCCCATTGTAACAGAATCCTCTGAGGCTACAATTCTCGTCCAGTTCTTATTTCTTCTTCTTCCCCTTCGCTGCCCTGTCCATTTGCGCCTGACCCTGCACCATCTTCCCGTAGGACTGAACCATTAGCAGCGTGGGGAGGATCACCCATGGGCTGTTGATCACCACGAAGTAGAACCAGAAGTACATTGGGTCCCACAGCGGGCCGTGGACGAACCCGTCCTTGACCTCGTTCCCGACGTAGAGGACGGTGCCGTAGAGCTGTCCCGTGGACACCAGGAGCTGGAGAACGTAGCGGTTTGGGCTGTTGTTGACGTAACCCGCGGCAACGAGGAAACACCCCGGACCCTCCAGCCAGGCCGTCACTGTCTCCATCATCACGGTGAAGGTGTCGGCCCTAGGAGAGGGTTTTTTGTCGGGTCAGCAAAATAAAAACTTGAAAAACAAAGCACACGCTTTAATTTGTTCTTCTAAAATGCCAGCAGTTGAAGTTGACTAAGGAACGTCGAACGCAGTCAACAGCAAATTGAAAAACAAAGCAAACGCCCTAGGAGAGGGTTTTTTGTCGGGTCAGCAAAAAAGATTTGAAAAACGGTTCTAGCTGTTCTTCTAAAAGGCCAGCAGTTGACTGCTGAGGTTGAAAAAAGAACGCATTCAACACAGCAACACGAATCTGTTCTAAAATGCCAGCAGTTGGGGTTGAACAAGGAATGCATTCCACAGCAAATCGAAAAACAAAGCAAAGGCTTCTGTTCTTCTAAAAGTAAAAGACCGGCAGTTGAAGTGGAACAAAAAATAGAGTCAAGGAACACGCTCAAGGAACAACTTCAAGGAACACGTTCAACCTCAAGGAACAGGACTTCAAGGAACAGGTTCAAGGTGAAGACAAGGATGAAAAAAGGAAGCAGCACTCGACTTCTTTGATTGCTGCCTTCCCTGGTCTGTAAGTGTTGAATCCTCCTTAGCACTAGTGATGCATACCTAAACCCAATTTTAGGTTCAGGTCCGGATTCAAGTCCAGAGGTTTAGGTTCAGGTCCGGACTTAAGTCCAGACCTAAACCCATGGCATATACAAAATTGCATGTTGGCAACCTTGCAATGTTGTCTGGGTGAAACTTTGGCCACATAAAATGGAGGCTGGTACTTGACGATGCCCGATGGCAATGTTTTCTTCATTTTGCAGCAAAGATTTTGGAATCTACGGAAGGTTTTAGGTGGTTTGGAAAGAAAAGGGGTATGTGAAATGGTCTTATATGGTAATAAGTCCGGACTCGGTTCTTGACTTTTAGGTTTTTTTGGACTTGAACCTAAACATTTTTACAAGTCCGGATCCAAGTCCAGTGAACTAGTATGCACCACTACTTAGCACTTCTTCACACAGATTAGTTAGACTTAGAGTTTTAACATAGGAGCTTTTATGAACTCTACTAGCTTCAAAAAAGCAAAACAATTGAGTACTAGACAAGTATGGTTAAGGAAAAGATAAGGCTGTAAAAAGTATCAAAAATATAAGAAAGTGTGAGCAAACAGAAGCTTCTCTAGAGAAATATTTGCTGTTATTTGAGCTTACTTTACTAAATACATATTGTACATTTATTATCAACATCACAATAAAAGAATAATATTATGGTGAACGCCAGTTTAGTTGTGATTACAATTTATTTGTTAGTACTGAAATGGTTACTTACGAGACATAACGGCTGTCTGCCTTGCTGTACTCCTTCCCTGTAAGATTAAAGAAAAATGAAAACAGAACAGTCAAGTTACAAATGTACAAACATTGTACTCAGCTAACTGTATGCAAAACTTTTGGAATTAGATTAGCTGTTACAACAGCAATCGACCGTTCCTGTCCATTATGTACAATTTAGTACTCTCCAAGCAGAGGTTGATGGTGGAAGATCGTTTGCTTTTTTATATATACTAGTAATGGCCCGTTTTTTTTGGGTGCAACCACCACCAACTTTGGTGACGATCTTCCACCATCAACCTCTGCTTGGAGAGAACAATTTAGTTCTACGATGAACTTACAACCAGTAAAATTTATGGCAAACTTTCTAGTATGTACAACCGTAAGCATACATCATTCTGTTACACTAGTACCACTTTATGTTTAAAGTTAAAACTTTTGGTCCAACACAAAAAATTCTCTCACCTAGAGCTTTCGACCAGTCACTCTGGTCTTCCTCAGTAGACTGACCCAGTGAAGCTTGTCACGTGGCTTCTTTGAAGGTGAGAGAACTTTTTGTGTTGGACCAAAAGTTTTAACTTTAAACATGTATAACTACCAACACAGATGAACTTTCATGATAGTACCACTTTACTTACAAAGCTGAGACAGGAAGGATTGGTCCCCGGCTATGCTGTTGTGGAAGACACTGAACCACCCCTCCAGGATCAAATGGATGCACCCGCACAGCATGAACCAGCAGACCGTCAGGCGCTGTACCGTGGACAGCTTAACCTTCGCACTGCTGCCCGAATAGATCCAAGTGCTCACCATCACTACAGCTGTAACAGTTAAACAAGTGACGTTATTCTACATATATTTGCTCAAAGCATATGGGGTACCACAAGGGAGTAGACAGTTACTGTGCCGTGGATAGTTTAACCTTCTCACTGCTGCCCGAATAAAGTTAGGTACTCACCATTACCACAGCTGTAATAGGGAGATATAAGTAGGTGAAGATATCTGTTAAACAAATGTATATATGGGCACCACAAGGGAGAATACTGGGCCCTTTACTACAGTAACAGTAGATTTAGCTCCATCCGGTGTGCCATGGACAGTTTCACCTTTGCACTGCTACCCAAATAGATCCAGGTGCTCACCATGACCACAGCTGTAATAGTGAGATATATAGGTGAAGATATCTGTTATATATATATGGGGTACCACAAGGGAGAATACTGGGCCCTTTACTACAGTTGTAGAAAGCTGCTGTACTGTGGAAAGCTTTGAACACCTTCGCGCTGCTGCCCGAATAGAGCCAGGTGCTCACCATTACCACAGCTGTAATAATCAGGAACATTGATGAATAACGGTAAACCACGCCTGTTAATAACATGATGCCATTAACAGGTATGGTTATTCTGTTTAGTGGTGCACACACCAATTCTTCCGCGACAGGGGTCCGAGATAGTGCCCGGGAAAAAAGTGACATTGTTCAAAAGCAAAGCCATTGAATATATGGGGTACCACAAAGAATGAAACTGGGCCCCTTAATTGCAACATCATGCAACATCATGTACAGCACTAGTAGTAGTTGAACCTTGCAGTACATTGCATCCTTGCAACTTAATACATGTACAAGATAATTTGTGGGAACGCTCCCCCCCCATACACACCGTATTGTGACTTGTGTATACTGCAAATTATTGGCGCCATACTTGTCATATCTTGTAGCGCGATCTAAAGTGCTTGTTTCTCGTCTATCATATAAAACTGATACTCACAATGGCCTACAAAATATGAGAGGCGATGCATTGTGTATGGATTGATACATGAGGTATGACTATGAATGGATTTGATGCCGCATTTTTCTCACCTGTGAGGCCGAAGAAAACGCCAAGAAGTTCCACGATAGACTTGTCATTCTCCACATACCGGCACGGCAGTTTCAACCCCACTGGCAGGTACGGGTGTGTGCTGGCGTTCTCCACCATGTCGGAGCGCAAAACAGAATGCAGAGAGACAAAATTCGAGATTCTTTCTTGCAAAATTATTCAGTATTGCACTTTGGCAAAAAGATCTAGAGGTCGCAAAACGCGGAAGTGGTTCGAACTGGGTGTCTGGCTCCTGATTGGCTGATTCGTGATCGGATGAGGAATATTTCTTTCCAGAAATAGGGGTGAAATGGGTGGTCAAAAAGAGATGAAAATTCTAAAATCAACATAATACTACTAACTATTGATAAAATAATACTATGTAATATATTATACTACAATATATTTACGTAAAATATGGGAAAATAAACCTCATGTATTTATTTTTCAAAGCACCCCCTTTCTCTAGTAGTATCGTCTAAATTGGGGTCAAGCCGGTGACCCCAAGCCACCCCCACCCCACCAGACAAAACGACTGGAGAAAATGTCGTGATTTAGTTTGAGTTTTGAGCGTTTTTCTCCCGATTCCACCATGAACAAAGGGTGGCTAGAGCTTGAGAGCGATCCAGGTAAGAATTTGAGGAGTCTGATTTCCTTCTATTCGTGATTTTGAGGTGAAACGCAGCTACTTATTGGTAGCGTATTCCGAGGCTTGGTGTCATTTTTTTTTAGCGCCATGCGCTGAGATCATATACTTAGTATCGGAAAGCAAGGACTTGTATATTATGTCCTTGTCAAAATGAATAACATATAGAGACCCTCGTTAATCCATAGTTCTACACATGGGTCTTTTGAATAAACAAGAGGGAAAATTATATTTGACCTTTGTTTTTGTTGAGACTGGGTTCTGAAATGTCTTTGTGTCGAAATCATAATGGTGTCTGGAAAAACAATAACAAGTTTGGCCATGTTTACATGTCCTCCTGAACGGCTATCAAATCTTTACATGTACGTTCTTTTGTTTTTCACAGGGCTGTTCACTCTCCTAGTCGAAGACTTTGGTGAGTTGATCCACTAGATTTGAATGAATGAATGAATGACTTTATTTCAGGAAAAAACCCATAGTACAGACAGGACCACATAGACACTAAACACACAACAATCTATATACATTTTTAAAATACGTGTTCCTGAATTGGCAGTCTGATCTCAAAAGACAGCATATAATGCTATTGTTGGTGGCATATATTCTATTGATGAGATTTGATATATAAGGCTTTGATAATGATTAAGTTGCCAGACATAAAATAAACAAATAACATTATAATGACAATCATAATTTGAATGTGTGTCACTTTGTGGTATTTCATAATTTATCAAATGTACCGTTAACGTTACATTTTCTTGCTTTTCCAGGTGTGAAGGGAGTTCAAGTGGAAGAAATTTATGACCTGTCCAAGCCTATTGAAGGGTAAAATATTTCTTTGCTAACTTCAACAGTTCAAGTATAGTTCAACAACAAGGCTAGCATCCTTGCTTATAATTAGCCTATTGAGCGATTCCAGCTATAGCAAGTTGTGATTGATACTTGAAACATCTGGTAGTTTTCCAGTTGCTTGAGCAACAGTTTCCTTGTGTACCTGGCATGGATGTCTAACCTTCATGGACTTTGCTTTTGGTGGAGGTTTTAATTAATAAATTATTTACAATATTTGTTCATCAGGCCTGTTTACGGGTTCATCTTCCTGTTCAAGTGGAGCGAGGAGCGTCGTTCCCGGCGGAAGGTCGGCCCCAGCATGGAGGAGTCGTTTGTGGCGGACGAAGACATCGTTAACGACATGTTCTTTGCACAACAGGTAGGGACTGTCCAGCACATGCCAGTAATCATGATGATAATGGGAATTTAACTGTTCTCAGAGCCAAGAAAATTGACATACCAAAATTTTCGATGGAACCGCTCAGTCTTCATCTGAGCTTTCTGACCTGGGTGCTGTGTCAATTTTCTTGAGTTGGAGAACAGTTTAATTCCCATTATGTACACATACAGTATTTTACCAACTCAGATGAACTTTCATGCTATGTGAGGACTGTAGTTATAATCATCTTTTGTTTTCATAGTACATGAATTTTCCAAGGCTGCATTTTTTAATTCTTGACTTTGTATTGAATTTTATCTCTATAAGTACATGTACTTCTTTGAGTTGTTGTAGCTAAAAGTCAGAGGTAATTAGGCAAGGGTGTTTTCATTCATTCTCTTTTGTGGTCTCTCCCCTGCAGCTGATCCCCAACTCCTGTGCCACCCACGCCCTGCTGAGTGTGTTACTGAACTGTCCCCAGATCAGCCTGGGGAGCACACTTACACGTCTCAAACACTTCACCAAGGGGATGGGCCCAGAGGTAAGACTAAGACTTACACATACCCTAAACCTCACCCTCATCCTGTACACTCACTCTAACCCTCACACGCTTCAAAGTTAATCAAACACTTAAACATTAAGGGGATGGGTCCTGAGGTAAACTTACACATATTAGAAGTTAGAAATTGTATACCTCCATGAAACATTTTTTGTATAGTTCTTGCTTTGTTCATTGTTGTGAATTACTCCCATTTTTACTCACCAGGAATTAGCCCTGTACACACTTGCAAACACACACACACACAGACTCAGCTAAGAAAACTTGGTTTAACATAATAAGTCTCCTAAAGGTTGTCGTTATTGTTTCACAAATTACATGGAGAACATGCATGTCTTTGTGATAATACTAGTACATGATTGTGTACTATAGTGATGGCTGTTTCTTTTTCTCCTTATTAGTCCAAAGGCTGGGCCATCGGAAATGTTCCAGAGATAGCCAGAGCTCACAACAGTCATGCAAGGTATGTAGCAAGCCAGTAGCATGTTTAAAAAACATCCTTCAGTACCCATCTCCATTTCTCTGGCCATGCAGGCCGCTACAGTAGCCAGCCAGACCACTGGTAGTGGTGTGTGTTCAATTTCAGTACTGTTTTTCATGAGTATTGAGTGCTAAGCAAAGATTACAGACTGAGCTAGGGTTTGGATCTTGTACATTTTGAATGCAAGGCCCCTCAGGCCTTTGCACTTTCAGTTTCAGGTGAACATGATCAATTACTTTGCAAATGGTAAGAACGGATGCCACTGACTGACAAAGGCTATGACTACGGCTTTGAGATCTGCTCCATGTAGTGATGATGGTGCTATTGGGACACCACGAGGCACAGTTAGTGCTTTATGAGGTGTTCCCTGATACAGCCTGGCTGTGAGTCCTGAGGAGTAACCAGCACAGGGGCCATCTGAACATGGAACAAACCAAACAAACTGTCTTCATTCCAATTTCTTAATATCATTCAAAATAAAATGTATGCATTATAAGAAAATTCCTAACCTTTATCTCCACGTTTGATGATAATTTTGTTGCAAATTCAGTATAAAGCAAACAAACATAATGTTTCAGTCAGTCAACAAGTCTTTAAATGCATGGATTTTTGCATTGCAGATTTGTATGTAGCCTGATTAAATAGCTTTACGGTTGCCACCCGCCCAACATCCAGCCGGCCCCCGAAAACTGCGGGGAATGGCCACTAAAGCCGCGGACGGCAGAGTTTGCGTTACACAGACTAATTTGTATGAACTACATACAACAAATGACTCAAGAGCAGGCCTTGTAGAATCGTACTAGTACTTTTAGTAGTCAACAACAACTTTGCCTGTTTTCCTCCCATCTCAGACCAGAGCCCCGGCACCTCCCAGAGAAGCAGACCGGCATCTCCTCCGTCCGCACGGCCGAAGCGTTCCACTTCGTCAGCTACGTCACGACCAACGACAGACTGTTTGAGCTGGACGGGCTCAAACCCTACCCGATAGATCATGGTACGTCCCTCTTTTGTCCCTACCCTGACCCTACCCGATTGATCGTGGTGAAATAACTTTTGGCTTTAGTTTAAAGTAGAGCTGTAACAAATATTAATAAACTTTCTTACTACGAAATTTATCCCTTAAAATGTAGGGAACGTTTCAGAGGGTTATACTAGTACACTATATTGTATACTAATGAATACTTCAGTTATTTTCCTTTCTATTATGTTACTTAAGTAATGTTTTGTTTTATATGTGCAGGGAGCATTGAAAATAGCCAACATGACGACATGTAAACTAATAAATGAAATTCATTTTAAAATTTTCTGAGGAAAGCCCACCGTCTGCCCTACAATATAAGGGGGCATGTGGCACTCACTGTCTGATTATGGTCCCCCTACAATATGAAAAAGCCCTGGTGAGAACCCTGGACCTTATACATGTATTATCAAATTAAGCTGTATTGGTTGTAACTTGTAAGGAATTAAGTAAAAATTGATCAGAGTCACCAGAGTGACTGTTCGAAAGCTCTAGGTGAGAGACCATTATTGTGTTGGATCTTAAGTGTTAACTTTAAACATGTAGTAACTACTAACACAGATGAACTTTCATAATGGTAAAAATTGATGTGTATTTCCACTCAGGTCCGTGGGGAGAGAAGGAAGACTGGACAGAGAAGTTCCGACGTGTGATCTCAGAGAGGATAGGGAATGCCACTGGAGGGTGGGTCAAATGTTTTTTTAATGTATTTGCATATTGAAAACATAGTATGGAAAAGAATATAAACATGGAGTGTGCAGGAGAAAGACTGGCAGCCCAATGCTGAATTATGTATGGTACACATTAGGTTTAAAGAAACTGGCACACTGGTTGAAATTTCTATGTACACTCTATATAACTTGATATGATAGTGATGTTTTGAACTAACCTGCTGCCCGATTCCATTAACTTGAATATGAAGTTGGAGACCTACAGCTACTTGCACTTACATATACTAGTCTGAAGGTTCAAGTTTAGGCTGCATTTTTTTTAACCAGGGAAAACGGACACGACATCCGGTTTAACCTTATGGCGGTGGTAGCGGACAGACGGCAGCAGTACGAGACGAAACTCATCCCATAGTCAGACTGTACAGGAACAAAAGATTTGAGCTTTTAATGAATAAAGGAATGGTTTAAACAAATGAAATTTCATTCCAGGGAAAATGGCCACGACAAAACTCAACCCATAGTCAGGCCGTACAGGAACAAAAGATTTGAGCTTCTCGTGAATAAAGAATTTTGTGCATTTCCAGGGAAAATGGCCACGACATCCGGTTTAACCTGATGGCGGTGGTAGCGGACAGACGGCAGCAGTACGAGACGAAACTCAACACCCTGAAAACCAACCGGCAGATTGTGTTGGAGGCACTGCAGCAGGTAGGGGGCCTCGCTGCAATGCTCAGGCTGTTGTGTAGGGGGCATCGCTGCAATGTTGAGGCTGAAGTAATGTTATACTTTCTCTCTCTATTTGGTTTATTGTCTGTTGTTCCCCATAACCAGGCTCCCATAACTGAGGGTTAGACATGCTTGCACACTGATGCTGGGGCTTGGGCACAGCAAATGTTTTTTTTGGGGAAACTCTGCACATCAAAGAATCCTGCAAACGTCCTAAGAAGAGTAGGGATAAGGTAATAATGTGCTTGCTGTCAGGACTGCCCAACTATCCGGAGGCTGTTTTAAGAGCTAGCCCTCCCAACTAGACAAAATAAAATGACAAAAATAGTTTGCATAAGAACAGTTACAAATTCAAATGTGTCAGCAGAGGTAGCTTTTATGTTTTTAATACACATTACACAAAGGAGACTTTTTAAGTACAAATATACCTCAGAGAGAGAAGAAACAAATTAGATAAAAGGAAGAACCATAATAACGAACGTATGCTGCTACCTGTTAAAAAATCCTGGGAAAAGATACATGAAGTTACAGTAATTGTGTTCTGTCCTCCAGCTGGTGCGTTTCACCCAGCCTCACCTGACCTCGCTCATCCCCTCCGCGTTCGGCGCAGAACCCCACAAGTCCAAAGCCTCGTCCACCGTCACTTCAGCATCCTCGGCTGCAGCCGGCTCCTCCGCTGCTGGTAAGGACAACGTTACAACCGCGGAGACATCCGACAGACGACGTCACAAGAAGAAGAAGAAGAAAAAGAAGAAGCACAAGGCACTGCCGACGGCACAGGTAACTTACTTCAAATATACGTAACCTATTTAAAGTTAAAACTTTTGATCCAACACAAAAAAATTCTGTCAGTCTCACCTAACGCTCTTGAACAGTCACTCTGGTCTTCCTCAGTAGACAGACCCAGTGAAGCTTGTCACGTGGCTTCTTTGAAGTGTGACGTCAACACTGGGTCAAAGGTATCTTTTAGACGATGTTTAGTAATGGATGTTAATTTTCATTTTCCATTTTCTTTTTTTCTTTCTTTGTTCAATAGTCGTTGCCATACGTTGCACCTTGTACAATTGTTGTGCAATAAAGTTCTATTCTCTCTATGTCATAGGCCGCTGCCCTGACCAAGCGCAACACGTCCAGTCCCGTTGTGACCCACCCTGCGCTGGACAGCCATAACTACGCCAAGTCTCCCCTGGAGGAGTTTACCGAGGAAAACGATCAGGACGCGCCGCCTGAATCCTTCACGGACGATGATACAGACGAGGAAGAAGAGGAGGAGAGTGAGGATGAGGAGGTGAGTTCAGTTTTATTTAAGAATTGACATGTAACATACGTTGCGTGGGGTCGTGTGATACAGTGGTAGCATGTTCGGCCTTGAACCAAGAGGTTCCAGGTTCAAATCCTACCTTGTCAACGATCTTTTACACAGCAATTTACACTGCTTTCCTCACTCAACATGAAAATGAGTACCTAGCTTTGGTTATGGACATCCCTTAGATAGGATGTTAAATGGAAGAGCCACACCCCACGCTCTTTAAAAAACCCACCAAACCCTTTTGAAAAAGAGTAGGGGCATGCCCCAGTGTGTGATGGTCCAAATACTTAATTACTACGGACTACTATCCATCATCAATTTAAAATAATAGTGACCATTAAATACAATTTGACATTGATGTATATAAAACAACAATTGAAAATCGTAACATCAAAATCAAGTTATCATATTTACAGGTGGTGGCATCGACAGAGGTGATGGAAAGAATGAATGAGGGAGAGACGAACAATTGAAAATCGTAACATCAAATGTCATTATGAACTGCCAACACTACAATGAATGCATTGGGACTTACCCCGAAAAATCAAATATCTTATTTACAGGTGGTGGCATCGACAGAGGGGATGGAGGGAATGAATGAGGGAGAAACGAACAATTGAAAATCATAACATCAAATGTCGTTATGAACTGCCAACACTACAATGAATGCATTGGGACTTACCAAGAGAAATCAAATACTTGTGTATCATATTTACAGGTGGTGGCATCGACAGAGGCGATGGAGGGAATGAATGAGGGAGAAACAAACGAGTCTTCCGGTGGGGACGTCACGAGCGGCAGAACGAGCTCAGCGTCAACCGAAGGGACAGAGTCTGCGACGGAACCGGCCACGGAGGTTTGTTTGTTTATTTATTGAAGGAATCTCCAAATTAGTGACGATTCACCACAGTGACTACTGTTCCTAGAGTCATCTTACACACATGAAATACAAACATCATATTATTAACTACTATTTACATCCACTACTTTCAAAAAAATTTGTCTTATCAACATTAAACAATATTATCATGAAAGTTAATCTGTGTTGGTAGTTGCATGTTTAGAGTTAAAACTTTAGATCCAACACAAAGAAGTTCTCTCACCTAGAGCTTTCGCCCAGTCACTCTGGTCTTCCAATGAGTCTTGTCACATGGCTTCTTTGAAGTGTGATAACTCTTAACATCAAACAATATTACATACAAAAAGTTAGGGTGACTTTTCATTTGCTAGGTTTTGAAGAGTATAATAAACATTTAGCATCAATTGATTACATCAATTAATGACAATATGTAATGTACATTATACAGGTGAAGGGCAGTGAGATCACGTTCTCGGAGGCGATGCGAGCCATCTCCGCCGTGGCTGACACCCGGAAACCAGACGAGTTTCTCCACCCGGACGCAAGTCGGCGGGTCGGTTTCCTGTAGCCTCTACCAGGCTTCAGGAGGCAGCTGGAAAGAGTAGAAATTGGCCAAATAGAGAGACAGCATGCTAAGGGAGTTTGGTCTGCTGGAGAGAACAGTTTGCTGCTCCCGACCAAACTCCCTTGGCATGCTATCTCTTTACTTGGCCAATTTCTACTCTTTCCAGCCGCCTCCCAAAGCCTGGTAGAGGCTAGCTTTCCTGTACATCTACCAATTGTAACATATGCTAGATATTTTGTATGGAAACTATTCCAGGGGTCTCCCCATAAACGTTGTGCAATTGGTATTCTAACATTGACAATGAAAATAAAAGTGTTGTCATGCAAGTTTTACTTTGATAAACGGTGTTGTTGTTGGACCCCTGTGTAGGTGGGTTTCCTGGACATGCCATGGCGGCCGGACGAAGCGCACCGCCCGCTGACTGTCCACACCGGCGGCTACGGCAAGATCCCGTCTCCGGCCCCGAGCAACGAGAGCACGGACACAGCGTCGGAGATCGGGAGCGCATTCAACTCTCCGGTCCGGTCAGCAAACAGGTCAGCCTTTCACAGTGTTCGAAATACCTGTCTGCAGTCTGCAATCTGCAGATAGATTTTCAAGATTGCAGAAGAAAAATTTGTACAATCTGCATTTTTGCAGCAGGAAAAATTGGCACTTGGGATTTGGCGCTCTTGGCCCCAAGGACAGACAACACTTAAGCTCTTGTTCTGAAACAACAGGAGCTTCTTCACTAATTTAAATCAACCTTGTCTTGACTTGTCTATCTTTTGTTTCTTTTTGGACTTCCAAAAAGTTGTCTTCACTAATTTGTATATCAATCAACAGTTCATGCTTATAAACCTGCAACATTATAGTATGGAGGCTTGTGTATTTGCAGAAAGTATTTCCAAATTGCAGAACAAAATTTTGACTCTTCTGCAATATTGCAGAGCACTGAAAAAAAGTATTTCGACCACTGCTTTCAATAATCAGGGCTCGAAATTCATACACCTAAAGAATGGGTGCACAACATTCCATGTCTGGTTGGCAAACAGGCTTACTTGTGAAATGGAGTAAAGAGATTCTTTTTACACAACCAAGTCTTTTATTCAGCCAACGTTTTGTTCAGTTCTGACTGTTTCACATTGCACTGTAGCACAGTTGTCGCTACTGTAGATGCATTCCCAAACACATAAGCGTGATTACAGGGAAATGTATCTACAGTGCAGTTGTGTAAAAAGAGTCTCTTTACTCAGTGTCTTACCAACCCGATGAAACTATTCACCATTTTGTAAAAAACCTTTATTTTTCATTGTAAAAGTGGCTGCAAGAATATAAATTGTGCTTAACTTGAGTTCGCAGCCACTTAGTCTGTGTCCTTTCATTTGTATTCATCGATGTTTTTCTGAATGAAAAAAATAAACAGGTCAGGCGTGAGCAGTCCGAACCCGTTTAAACACCACCAGCACAACGTAAACCTGTTCACGGAGGCGGCGACAAAACTTCTGGCTGCACAGGAGGGCCACAGGGTGGGGATGGAGTTTGTCAGGTTTGTATTCTCATGAAAGTTCACCTATGTACTTGTTAGTTAGTTACATACGTCGGTGAAGGTTAGACATCCAGGTAATAAGATATGCCAAGAAGCACTTACTCAAGCAACTGGATATGATTTTGGATTATCCACACAGATGTAAGTCGGGATTGCTTATTGCGGCCAGTCACAAAATTCACAAAATTTATGTTCGTTTGTTTGTTTTCTTGCACTTTCTTCACCGCACCCCACCGGCCGCAATAGCCGTGCACCCTGAGCGAGATGCCCTAGATAGGGCTTTGCTCAGGATTTATAGAATCCAGTTGCTTGAGTAACTGCTTTTTGGCGTAGTTAGTTACATGTTTAAAGTTATACCTTTTGGTTATAACCAGCACCTGGTTGAAGAATTGTTCTCACCTAGAGCTTTCGACCAGTCACTAGGTATGAACAATCCTCTGTGATGGAACAATAGTTTTAACTTGAAACAGGTGTTACGTGAGTCATTGTGTCCCTGACCTGTTGATCTTCAGACAAAACATGACTCGTAATCACAACCATTTTGATTATATGTATATTTCAATATAAAATTATTACATATATTTGAGTAAGGTTATATTTGTTTTGATCATAGCAACCCATTAAAATAAACTTTCAACACTGTACGAAAGCCAGCCAGTAACAGTATTATGTGCAATATTGTATGTAACATTTTTACGCCTGAGCTGTGAATTGAATGCAAATCAGTAGTACCCCCACTTCAGTGTCAAATAAATTGATACATACGCCGAATAGCAGGTACTCAAGCAACTGGATATTATTTTGGAAATGGTCAGACGTTTCAGCTAGCGTCCACTAGCCTAAATTAATACAACTTGAATCTCTATTTAAGGTCCCCGGGTGCCACCTCGGAGCTGCAGACCATCCCCGAAGGCAGCATCACGAAACAGGAGGGCGACACAAAAGCAGACACCAACATCATCACTGTCTGTCTCAAGCGCTCGCTGCAGGGTGGGGAGGGGGGCGGTCCACCGGGCAAGAGGCTCCACATGGGGGATCCCGACATGGGGCTGCAGAGGCTAGGGAGTGGGGACTCCGGGACGGGACAGTTTGATGGTGACCCCGCCGCGACCCTGCAGGGCGGGAGTGTCGCAGGTCAGGGGTCAGGGGACGGCCAGCAGGACCAGAATGCACTGCACGCGGGCGGGGCAAGGCCAAACATGGCGCATGCCTTCGCACCAAAGGTATGTTGTAGTAATGAAACTTTATTTGCAAAATCATGCCGAAGGCTAATTGCTTGTACAATCAAGTATAATACTATAATAACATAATAACATCATTGGTCATATTGTTATAAAATGTACTCCAGCTTGGTTTCTTCCTGTTTTATTTGTATGTCTGTAGAGTTTTTTGTATTATTTTAATGATGTATTGTACATGTGTTATATGGGTTTTTTACCTGAAATAAAGAATGAATGAATGAATAAAATCCACAATAGGCACATTTGTATTATGACATAGTCTGCATGATGTAGGCTGGCCTTCATCACCATTACCATACCTCCGGATGAATTATCCGGTGAGGTACACTTGATAAAGTTACTCCAGTATGCCCTGTCCCTCCTGGCAGACACTAGAGCAGTCCCTGTGAGACCAGCATCTTTCATTACCATTGACAAAAGTGTAGCATGTGGTCGTCCCACTCTACGTCTCCTGGTGGGAAGCCACTGTACTAGTCTACCAGCTGGTTCCTTGCTATGAATGACATGCCCTGCCAGGGCAAGCCTGTGTCGTCGCAGTACAAACAAAATGGACGGTAGAGAGCCACCATAGAGTTGTTTGTTTAATAGATGTTGTATCCATTAAACATCATGGCCTTTAAGCCTGATTATTAGTAGGAGACGAATTAAGTAAATTTATGTCTTCTTATGAAATGTCTTGTATCTTCAGGACTTACTGGCACTGCTGAAGAACGTTGAGACGGAAATTCAGATCTGCGAGCAGCACCTTAAGGATGAGATCGAGAAGAGGAAGAAGTACAAGGTGGGTAGCTGCTGCTGGTTGCTGAATTTTTTCTGTTACAGACAACACGGGAATGGATTGGGACTTACCCAAATTTCTGGCTGATCATGGAATGGACCCGTCTACTTTTGGAATGTGACATCAGAGAGACACGTGACCGTAGGACCGGGTCATTCCAAGAGTACTCGGGTCCATTGGGTAAACAAGGCCAAAATTTGGTTAAGTCCCACCTCATTCCTGTGTTGGAGTTAAAGTTTAGTCTTTATTTCGTAATAACACAGATGAACTTTCATGCTAAGTCAGGTCAAATATGTTCACAGGTTGACCACTGTCGTTCGACCCACAACTACTATGAGTTTATCCGCATGTTCTTAACAACCCACTGTCCATACGGCCTCAAAAAGGCCTCAAAATACTATCTTTGCCTTTTTAAAAGATGTCATATAAAAGTCTTCTCAATGTTTGATCTCCACCCACAGGTTGACAACTGTCGGCAGACCCACAACTACGATGAGTTTATCCGCACGTTCCTGCGACCCACTGTTCCTACAGTCTCATAAAAGGCTACAGGATTACCTTAAAGTTTGCCTGTTTTAAAAAGCCTCATCAGTGTTTGCTCTCCTTCCACAGGTGGACGACTGTCGTCGGACCCACAACTACGATGAGTTCATCCGCACGTTCCTGCGAATGCTGGCTGAGCAGGGCCAGCTGTCCAAGCTGGTGGACCAGCACCCTGCTGTAGTGACTGCGCTGTTGTGTGTGGCCCAGGGCAACTGAAACGGAGATGGGCGCCGCCCCATGTGTCACTTGAGCTGTTTTTTAACTATCGATACTTGCTCTTCTCAGGTGGAAGACTGTCAGCAGAACCACAACTAAAATGAGTTTATCCACTACCCCTACAGCCTCAAAAAGGCCTCAAAATAGTATCTTTGCATTTTAAAAAAAAGCCTCAAAGTTTTCTCAATGTTTGTGTCCCCAGGTTGACGACTGTTGGCGGACGCACAACTACGATGAGTTTATCCGCACGTTCCTGCGCATGCTGGCTGAGCTGGTAGACCAGCACGTCCCTAACAACCCACTGTCCTTGTGGCCTCAGAAAGGCTACGGGACTACCTTTGCTTTTTCAAAAGTCTTATCAATGTTTCAAAATGTATGCTCTTTGTAGGTGGACGACTGTTGGCGGACCCACAACTACAATGAGTTCACGCATTCCTAACAACCTACAGCCCCTACGGCCTCAAGAAAGGCTACGACACTTCTTTTTCCTTTTCTAAAAGTCTTATCAATATTTACTGTTTGCAGGTTGACGACTGTCGTCGGACCCACTGCCCCTACTACCATTTCCTGTTTTTTTTAAAGTCTTCTTAACGTTTGAACATGTTTTCTCAGGTTGATGACTGTCGTCGGACCCACAACTACGATGAGTTTATCCGTACGTTCCTGCGAATGCTAGCTGAGCAGGGTCAGCTGTCCAAGCTGGTGGACCAACACGTGTTGGTCAGGCGTCGACAGGGCGTCAGTGTCGGGAGACTGCACAAGCAGCGCAAGCCCGACCGCCGTCGGAAACGCGCTCGCGTGTCGGACAAGTACCGGAGGAAGAAACAGTGATTCCCATGCTTCTTAACAGTACATGTACATGTATAATGATAGATATACTTGCAGAAATGTAAATACTTGGCTGGAAATGCGATGGTGGAAGTGGGCAAGCGTGTGCGACAAGTTGTCAAGTACAGAAGAAAGAAACAGTGATCGCAATGCTTGTTGTTAGATCGATTCTTAACCATAATAAGCACTGCCACACTTGTACATACTGGGCTAGAAATACCACTGGCATATACACAAGTAACATTACTGGAGGAAGAAGCAGTGATCCTGATGCTTGTTGCTAGACTGCTAAGGCCACACCAAGTAAATTTTATGGATGACGTCCTTTGGAGACCCTAAATCTAATGCGAGAGGGCGAAAAAAAAACAAGAAGGGCCCTAAAAAACAAGATGCCTAGATTAGAAATATACTACGAGACGACAAATGTTAGGACACAAATTGAATGAGATGACACAGTGTAACAAGCAAGAAGTCTTTTATTCATCATCAAAACAGCAATAAATCAGGTGGAACAGCAGTTGTCGTCCTGTCCTGTTTTCACGTTACGGGTTCCACGTCAATGTGACGATTTGCGGCACTGTCGTGACTCTTTGGTCATAGTTACAGGAAGCAAAATTTCTTGTTTTTTTTTCTAGGAAGAGGCCAAAATCAATGCGCGCGCGGACGTCATCCATACAATTTACTTGGTGTGGCCTAACCATAAAAAACAATGCCACACTTGTATACATGTAGAAGATATACTTACAGAAATGTACATGCTGGAAATACCACCGGCATATACACAACTACTACAGGGAGAGACAGTGATCCCGATGCTTGTTGTTAGACTCCTAAGGCCTCTTTGTTCTACACTATTCTATACGATACGCCGGAATATACGATAATGCCCTATACAATTATGCATTGTTTTTACAATTCAGTGAATGGTAAATGGTTTGGTGCTTTAGAATTCTATACAATTACCAGAAGTATACAATTATGAGAAATACAAATAAGTGGTATCCTCAGTAATAGACCGGGAACCGCCAAATGTTGCGTTATATAAGATGCTCTCAATGTACATTTCTGTAGTCTATTTACAAGATAGACGAAGTATCCTATATTATATATATGCCTTGATTTAGTGAGGACATGGCATTTTGTTGATATACATTATACAGTAAACAGAAGATATTACACATTCCAACCAAATGCTGTAGCATCATTTTTACGATAAGAGTGCGTTGTAAGTAACATTAGATAACGTATTGATATTTGTAGTGGAGCCTGAAACTTCCAAAACCCTATTTGCTATAAATGGGTAAGAGTTTCGTATCATTTTTATGTACCTAACATCTTCGTGGACTGAAAAACTAGCCTCTACCAGGCTTGGGGAGGCGGCTGGAAAGAGGAGAAATCGGCCAAATAGAGAGATAAGCATGCCAAGGGAGTTTGTCCGTTGAGAGAACAGTTGGGGTGCAATTTCTACTCTTTCCAGCCGCCTCCCCAAGCCTGGTAGAGGCTATATATGAAAAACAGCGAAAATCTCCCATATTAAGTGTAAATGTACTTCAAAGGTGCTGCCATGCACGCGACAACATTCGGACTGAGAAAAATTGAATTTTGAATCACTACCAGACAATAAAGTGGTGAGGACTCAGATCAAAGTGTTACACACAAAGTGAGAAGTAACCGAATTGTGCCCTGCCTGAGGGTAGAGATAGCTTATGGTACGCCAAAAAACAGTTACTCAAGCAACTGGATATGATTTTTGGAAACGGTCAGACGTTTCAGCTAGTATCCACTAGCTTTCGTCAGTGTTTGCTCAAATGTTGCTGGTTTGCTTCGCCAGTGGGTTTATCAGTTGAACACCATGGGGAATTCGATCTTCTAAAAAAAGTTTTAAAGTTGAAAGCTTTATACAGTGGCAGACGTCTAGACTACCACATCAGTACGAGATCTCTTTAATTCTGCAGACTGAAAAACAGTGGAAATTGGCCTGAAGGTAGATGTACTTCAAAGGCTACTAGTACTACAGTATCTGCAGTATTTAACCGTCTTTCGGCGTAACACACCAGCTTCGCAGGCACGCGGCGCGGCGGCAACTGGCTACGTACATTACACCGATCGAGTTGTTACATCTAACCCTTGAACATCTAAATCTAGGTTAAAAGGATTTCTAATAATTCGTTAGTCCATCGAAGTTTAGAGCGCTGTCGGCGGTTTGAAGATGATATAGAGATGCGTAGCTTATGGTAGACTACGGCGAAGTTATGAAAAGGCCGAACACTCACTACCGCATCTGTACCAAATCTCTTAGATTCTGTAGAGTGAAAAACAGTGAAAATTGGCCTGAAGGTAAATGTACTTCAAAGGCTACCAGCCAGCAGGCGATCGATGCTCCTTGCAAAGAATGGTTAGATTTTGCATCACTACCGCTCAATAAAGATGTGGTGTCCCAGTTCAAAATGTTACATCCGCACTAAGGAAATCCAATTGTGTCCCACGTACCAGAGAATTGAGATGGGTAACCACGGTAGATGGACTTTTATGTTACAGAGAGTTACCGAAAGGCTGGGCATTCACTAAGAACAGAGCTCAAGCGGCCCCGTTGTGTCGGCCTTTTTCAATGTGCTACGTTCAGATCTTACTTTTATTTCATTTTATCTTGGAAACTTGGACTATCTGAGCTGAAAAAGCGGTCCAAAGAACACCGATTAGCACTATATAGTTATTGTTTTTGGTGCTGTTATTTATTTCTTATCTAAGCGATAGTTTATAATTACGCTAAACGTGGTCGCAGGGTAGCCTCTACCAGGCTTCGGGAAGCGGCTGGAGAGCCGGAAATTGGCCAAGGAGTTTTAAAAATCAAAGTTGAGTCTTTGCTAACATGCCATTTGGCCCGCTCCCCTGGTACATTATCTTTCTATTTGGCTAATTTAACTTTTTCCAGTCGCTTCCCGAAGCCTGGTAGAGGCTAGTCCCTATGTTCTGGGTTTTACCAAAAAGTTATTAGATCATGAAGTGACGCTATTGTGGTCATCAGGTCACGGAGGTCAGAGGTCAAGTTGCACAGAAACTTGCGGTGGGAGGGGGGCGTGTGCCGCCGGACAAGAAGAGAACACCAAAAGTATGACATAAAAATGTATTGTAAAAAGTTCCTGGGAAATTACTGTGGAAATTTGACCAAAGTACCATGCTGCAGATAGCAAGAATACATTACAGGTACGGTATCAAAGAGTTTCTACGTAGAGAAAACAAACTACTAGTAAAAGTCCTTGGGGTTACAAAAATGTACCTGAGTGAAAGGTCATATTTGACCTGATTTAATAGAAAAGGTAAAAACACCTAGCGACTACGTCTAGCGAGAAAAATAGACTCTAAACAAGGACAACAACAACAAAAGGTGAGTTAGGACTAGCAAGAATACAGCTCGAACTTAGCTAGAGTTCAGATCGTTCACATGTGCAGATCGTTGCAAATAATATAATCAGACATACAATATTTGTACATAGTAAGAGTAAGGTATCAAGGTATCTCGCACTGAAAATATCGAGATCATGTAGTAATTTATGGATATACAGTTATACTGTATGTTATTTTGGATTATGTCTGTTTCTTGTAATGTATAATGTTTGTCAGTATTTGTACTTGTATGCCCAGCACTACCCGAAAAACAGGTTTTTTAATGTAACCTGAGTGTATTCTGCTGGTAAAATAAATAAATGAAATAAATGAAATGGATATCCAGCTATGACCTCCTCAGGTCACATGGACTGTAGAGGTTCATGTTTTTTGAACTTGACATAATTTCCGTGGTACAACTTCAATCATGTAACCAGTAACATTATCTTGTTACCAGTATATCTGACCCTGAACTTAGACCTCAATAATAAGCCAGGAGTGTTACAACCCAGGCTAATTTGTTTACGTTAGCACATGATAGAAAGAAAGGGGCCAGCAGACCGAGTTGAATAAACAAAGGCTCTAACAAAGTTATTTTATTTAAAATGAAATAACTTCTTCATCGAAGAAGAAGTTATTTTATTTATGAGTAACGTTTATATGATTGTGCATGAATACGATAAGTTTGTTCAAGGACATTAATCTAACATCTGTGTCCATAATATCACCTGGGTCCATAATATCGCCACCTTGAGAAATAGTGTTCTTAAAGATATTTTTACTGCAACAGACCCTAGGTATGTACATTTGATGTGTGAAGGAGTGCATACCAAAAGTATGTTGCAGTAAAAATATGTTTCTCATGGTGGCGATATTATGGACCCTGGTGATATTATGGACACGGATGTTATATCTCCATACAATGCAAATATGTCCTTGGTTTGTTGTAATCCTTTATCAGACAGATGAGCGTCCAGGCGGCACGGATGTTAGTGAGCCCGGCCCGAGCCCTGGTGGACGAGAGAGTGGACATCACTGTGGAGAGTCTGTCTCCCCGGCAGCCCGTCACCTTACAGGTTAGATAGTCGCCCCGCTTCTGTTGCTGGCTTCCTCTGTCGACACCGGGAGAACACCTAACGGCCAGTCCTCCCAGGCTAGAGGGGCCAAAAGATACACCACAAGTGTGAAGCCAATGTTGGCTAAACTAATGCTGAGACTGCAGGGCTCGAAATTTATTTTTGGGAATAGGTTCACTGGTGCACCCAACCTAAAAAATTTTGGGGGTGCATATAAAATAAAACTGATAATTACAGATCTTACTGCTCCTCTTCTAAGCTTTAAGTCTGAAATGGGAGCTAACTTCAAAATCTTAAACAACTGTACTACAACAAAGATTTTCTGACACTTAGATGCCAAGAATATCCAGTATTACTGTATACATTTAATATGTACAAAAATTGCTACAAAAATATCTAGGTGCACCAGTGCACCCACAGAAAAAAAATTGGGTGCACAGCTTCAATTTTGGGTGCACTAAGGTGCACATGCACCCGGTATTTAGAGCCCTGATATGTACTACATGTAATACAAGTATGTACTTATGATGATAACCTACCGTGTTGGTTTTACTGAATATGTTGATTGTAAACTTCAGTTTTTACTGCAAGGCCGATTTGTTCTGTGTTGTTTCAATGAACCGACTAGTAACAATTTACAGGCACGGCTGGTGGAGGGGACGGCGCACTTTCAGTCCTACGCTCATTACAGGGCTGACAGTGCCGGGAGGGTGGTCCTGGGGAAACAACCTGCACTGGGAGGGACCTACACAGGTAATTTTGTTCAATTATGTTTACCTTCGCAGAAGGAAAATATTTTTCTTCTTCTACTTCCATTCCAAACAAATAAGGTCAATAGCCTTGACCCGATGTCTGTCACCATGGTAACTGGTAGTACCCTGTGGTGTTGGGTTACGTTTGTAGCCAACCAAACTTGCATTATGTAGCAAGTTTGGTTGGCTGATAACCATTACATAAAATTTATGTGTTTGAGTACTAAGTAAGAATAAACAGAGTAGTAGTTTGTTGGGCTAGACCAGGTGAAGGTAAACATTTAAGAATGTCATCTTCGTAGTTTTTTCTTATTTTACATTTTTGTGTTGTTCAGGCATAGACCAGATGGGTCTGTTCTGGAGTCTGCAGCCTTCCCCTGGGCAGAAACCCGGGCTGCGGCTCAGGAAGAAGGACGTCTCCACGCCGTTCCTGGTCGACCTCAGCCTGCATGACGGACACGTGGACGTGACAGGAGAAGAGGAGAACCTTCCTGACTGTCTCGCGGCTACAACTGTGGAGAGGTGGTATCTGGGGGAAGGTGTGGAGAGGATACCTGTGAGGGAAGGGCGTGTAAGGGGAACGCTGTTTCTACCTCCAGGTGAGATGCGAGCAAGATTAGCCAAGTTTTAATGAGTATTTCTGTAGAAAACATTAACTTTAAGACAAGATATCTCAAGCAACTGAACAATCTTGAGGTTTCACATGGAGGGTCCTGGCAACAGTTAACACTAAGACTTAGTGGTGTAACAGCAGAGTGCTCAACTCGGAACCAAGAGGTCCCGGGTTCGAGTCCTGACATGCCACTGATCTAGCTTGTGCCGTTGGGAAAGGCACTTTACATGACTTTCCCCACTTAATTCAAGTGAAAATGAGTATTTTCTGTCCTGTATTTGTTTCTGTGTGTGGGAAACATCACCAGCAACAGCTACCTGTGTCCCACATGTATTCGACTGTTGCAATTTCAATACATTGACTCAAATCAAATTATCTGACACCTACCACAGGGGAAGGCCCGTTTGCAGGAGTTATTGACCTGTTCGGGTCCACCGGAGGTTTGGCGGAGTACCGCGCGGCGCTGCTGGCATCGCGAGGCTTTGCTGTTCTCGCCCTGGCTTTCTTCGCTTACGACGACCTTCCAAAAGAGATGTACGACATTGACCTAGATTATTTCGAGGTACAGTTCGATTTTTATCATATCATACAGTCCATCATATATTTATTTGTCATCATCATCATTATTTTTCTCTCACCTCTGTCTTCTAATTACTAGATATTTACACATTTTTTTTTGTTTGTTTGTTTGTTTGTTTGCTTGTTTGTTTGAGGCTTTGTTTAGTCATTAGATACCCAAATCAGCATTGTGGCCACTTTAAATTAGATTTAATCAGTGTCAGACAAACTGGGGGGTTTAAATTTGGGAGTCTTCAGGGTCTTTGAGAGCTTTTATGTGCTATTTTTTTAATTACCCCTATTTTAGAAGTGGGCTAATCAGAAAACAGCCGAAGACCACCAAACCCCCACTTCTTTAAGCCTGCTACGGAGGCTAGTCGGACATAGTATAACAAAATACAGGTTACACGATTGGAATCCTACATGTACCTTATCTATAAACGTCTAGTTGTACATATCTAGAGTGTATGTATTATATCTATAATCATTATTATGTATCTTTTGATTACAGGAAGCAGTAGATTGGCTGCTTAGTCTCCCAGATGTCCAGAGCCACGGTGTGGGCATTTTGTCCACCTCAAAGGGAGGAGAGATAGCTTTAAGCATGGCCTCGCATATGGGGAGCAAGGTACTGTGTCATTTTTGTTTAGCTTTACTGTTTTTTGTGGTAAATGAAGTTCTTGGTGCATTGGCAACACATAAATCAGTGTGTGTCCTCACAAGTGTGGGACAAACTTTAGACAATGGAAAAATAGCTGAGAGGCTTGGTGGGCGTCTCTCCACCGTACAGTTAGGGTTTATAAGTCTTGTAAAGTGCTTTTTCTAAGGTACAACAGTGGGCATGTCAGGGGATCGAACCCAGACCTTTTGTTTCTGAGCCAAACACTCCAAGTCTGACCATTATTCAAAATGCCACCACAGTGTATTGACGCAAAATAGAGATGCAAGGCAATGGTATAACTGATTAAGTGAAAGAAATCCTTATCTTTTCTTTTGTATAGATGTACAGGGCTTCAAATGTTTTTGTTTGTTTGTTTGTTTGTTTGTTTGTTTTATTTGTTTGTGCAGGTAAAATTGGAGCCATGCAGGTATTTCTGATGTCTACATGTACAAATGTACCTGCCCCATTACTGGGTTCTAATTTTTAAATTCACAATTGGATGCTGAACTTGAAGAGTTGATTTCTGCAGGTTGCAGCGGCAGTAGCTATCGGGTCCTACACTGCCATAACCGGGGCTCCACTGCCATATAAGGACAAAGTCTTCCCTTGTGCACAGTGAGCTGTTTCATTAGTTTTTTTTTCAAAACTTAGAAAAGACCGGTATCATAATATTATGATTAGATTCTTAACAATACCATTCTTATGATTGACAAACCATAGTGCATTTGGTAACATGATTGTATATGTTGTGTGCATTTGTTTGTGTGTGTGTTTATGTTTGTGTGTGTGTGTGCTTTTGTGTGTGTGTGTGTGTTTGTGTGTGTGTGTGTGTGTGTGTGTGTGTGTGTGCATGAGTGTCTGTGTGCGTGTGCATGTAGGTGTGTGCGTGTGTGTGTGTGTGTGTGTGTGTAGGACTGGTGTACATTTGTAATGTATGTTAAATATGGATGTGTGTCTGTGTGTGTGTGTTTGTGAACAGCAAGTCGAAAATGACATGTAACAACGCATGACATTTTGTAACAACAAGTTTGCAAATGGGTACCCTATGCTAGCAATGTTCTATTGTATTGCAGCAGAACTAAAATTATGTGTATAATTTTATATTTACAAATCGTCCACAGATGGATACCTGAAAATGTTGTATTCACCAAAGAGGGTCATGTTGATGTGAGAGGTGTGGTGGACACTACCAGAGAGCCAGGCATACAGGCATGTGTCCAGGTAAGAATATCATCCCATAACCGCTATTATTAGTAGTATTAACATCATACATTATTTTCATTGTTCATATTCATGGTTCTATTTAACACTTAAGTACTGTACCTTCATGGTCCTACAACGCCAAGGTTGAAGAATACAAGTATACCTTTGCTACTACCTGTGACTACTACCACTACTATTAACTCTTTTGTCGTGGTCACATATTGTGTCAAAAGAGACCTACAATTAATGTAATTACAGTATTAGTATTAAGTAGTAGTAGTAGTAGTTAGTAGCAGTGGCACTAGTAGTAGTACTAGTAGTAATAGAAGTAGTTCTAGTAGCAGTAGTAGTAGTAATAGTACTATTAGCAGCAGCAGTAGTACGTGTAGTAGTAGTAGTAGTAGTAGTAGTAGTAGTAGAGTCTTAATAAATCTATACACACTGTGACATATCTAGAGTTAAAACTTTAGATTTGGCACAAAAAAGTTCTCTCACATAGAGCTTTCGACCAGTCATCCTGGTCTTCCTCATTAGATCGACCAAGTGAGGCTTGTCACGTGGCTTCTTTGAAGTGTGACGTCAACACTGGGTCAAAGGTATCTGGTAGACGATGTCGGCGCCCATCACGGTTCAGTGAAGGGTGATGGGCCCAGATCGACCAGAGTGACTGGTCAAAAGCTCTAGGTGAGAGAACTTTTTGTGTTGGATCTAAAGTTCTAACTCTTCACATGTAATTACCAACACAGATGAACTTTCATGATACAATGTGACATACGCCAAAAAGCAGTTACTGAAGCAACTGGATATGATTTGGATGACTGGATATAGAAACGTCTGACGCTTTCAAAATCATATCCAGTTGCTTGAGTAACTGCTTTTTGGCGCATCTTATTACCTGGATGTCTAACCTTCATGGACGTACTATGTGACATATTTAATGTTTACAGGTAGAAAAGGCAGAGTGTCCCATCATGTTTGTGGCAGGGGAGGATGACCTCAGCTCAAAAGCAGTTTTCTTTGCAAATCAGGTGACTTTATGGCTGAATTGTTATCATGTCAGTTTGTTGATATACTACCTGTTTTTTCAAAAGTAGATAATTATATGTGAGATTGTATTGTTTGATCTTCTTTGTTCTTGTTGCCATGTTTCACTTTCTTTTGTTAATCTGGCCTGAATTAAAGAATAAATGAATTATAATAATGAAAGTTTATTGCAAATACATGCCCGAGGGCTAATTGCAGTTACAAACAACATAAGAAAGAAAATACAGTGGTATGTGAGACTATATCTACGTCTAGCATTATACTATATTCTACAACATGCATGGTACTAGATTTACTGGGTTTGACTTCTTCTTTTTAGGCAGTGGAAGACGAATTTACCCACGTCTTCTATAATATGTGGGTTCTTTGATTTTAGTAGTAAAAATGTTTTTTTGTGGTAGGGAACGGTGGGGAAGTAAGGGAGTATTTTGGACACGGTGCTAAATAATTGTTTTCTGATGTCGTCATAAAATGGACAGTTAGAGATGAAATGAATTTCGTCTTCCACTGCATTTGAGGAGCAATATTTACAAATTCTCTCCGACACAGGCAGTTTCATATATCGCCCTTTTTCGATTTCCAGGGGGTGGGCACTGATTCTAATTTTACTAATAGTGGAGCGCTGCTCAAAGTCACAGTGTTCTAGGTATTGTTCTAGGCAGTATTCAGTTTTACATTTTCTATAGAATCTCAGTTTACCGGTATTAACAGACAAGCTATGGAAGAAAGTTTGAATGACATGACACAGTCTTATGTGACATTTTTGTTTTAACTGCCCTAATACAGCTGCAGCAGGTTTTGCAAACCACAAACATTTTCATCATATCTGGTGTTGTATTATGCATAATGATTACTCTCAAAGTTTTCCACTTTCCACTGCAGGCGATTGCTAGAATGAAGGCTCATGGGAAGACTAACTACACGCTGCTGAGGTACCCTGGGACAGGTCACCTGATCGAGCCGCCCTACACGCCTCACTGTGGCCTGTACTACCATGGAGTTTTCCGTAAGCATCATATACATAATATAGTGTTATAATTACTGCAGTTGAGGTCTTTGAAAAGTGTAGGTATTGTTTTTGGTCTGTGTGTGTATGTGGTGTGGTGTGTGTGCGTGTGTGTGTGTGTGTGTGGTGTGTGTGCGTGTGTGAGTGTGTGTGTGTGTGTGTGCGTGGTGTGTGTGCGTGTGGTGTGTGTGCGTGTGGTGTGTGTGTGTGTGTGTCTGTGTGTGTGTGTGTGGTGTGTGTGTGTGTCTGTGTGTGTGTGCATGTGTGTGGTGTGTCTCTGTGTGTGTGTGTGTGTGTGTGGTGTGTGTGTGTGTGTGTGTGTGTGGTGTGTGTGTGTGTCTGTGTGGTGTGTGTTTCTGTCTGTGTAATACTGTATGTGTGTGTGTCTGTGTGTGTGTGTGTGTCTGTGAGTGTGTATGTGTGTGTGTGTGTGTGTGTGTGTGTGTGTGGTGTGTGTGTCTGTGTAATACTGTATGTGTGTGTGTGTGTGTGTGTCAGCACGAAAGGCTGGGTTGATATTTTGACGAATGAATTTTGAACTTTTAATCAAACCACTGCAACAACTAGGAAGAAAAGGACTTTCCTCGACTGTGGGGGACAAAATATGAGCATATTTGAGTTGATTCATAACCAGAATCTTTTTGTTTTCAAACCAGAAAAAAGAGATGAAGAGATGAATCAGAGAACCAACAAATTAAACTGGTATGGCCTTAGTGACATCCGCATTTATTTCCAGGCTGGTGTATGGTGGCAGGAGGAAAACCGAAAAGCCATGCGGCAGCCCAGGAGGACTCTTGGCACCAGATCCTTCGTTTCTTCCGGACTCATGTAGACAGAAGTAGACCACAAAGCCAACTCTAACGAACCATGATCTTTCTCCCATTTTCAACTACTTCATCATCATCATGCCTCCGGATTTTAATCCGGTGAAGTACACTTGATTAAGTTACTCCAGTATGCTCTTTCCCTCATAGTGGACTCTAGACTAAATGCAGTCCCTACGAGACCATTGTCTCTCTAACATTGACAAAAGAGTAGTATAAGGCCATCCCACTCTACATCTCCCAGTAGGGAGCCACTGTACTAGTCTACCAGCTGGTTCGTTACTACGAACAACATGCCCTGCCAGGGCAAGTCTGCATCGTAGCACTACAGACGAAATACTACTTAACTGTGCTAAATTTTCCTTAGTAAATTTCATGAGGTTGGTGAATGATTGAATAGTAAAGTTCTTTATTTACGACCACTTGTTTAACAAGAGCTGGCATTTCGATGCCTGTTATTTTCATCAGGGTAATTCCCAAATGTAGTTGTAAAGTAATTGTGACATACATACATGTAGATATTGTTACAACATAGTAAATTTAATATTATTATATACAACATGTTGTTAGCTGACAACATAATGAGCTAATGCAGTCCCAAATGTAAAGTACACAATGTGTACCTACCGGTATTACATCTTGTTGTGCCTTCTACATAAGTATGATAGTAGGATATGCCAATGATTGTGTTTGTAAATCAGTCGGTAGAGCATGGGACTCTTAATCCCAGGGTCGTGGGTTCGAGCCCCACAATGGGCGCCACTGTAAAAACCGAAAGGGGCGAACATGTCACAACCGGGAATCGAACCCGAGTTGTCCGCTTGGCGATCACCGACGCTAACCATTACACTAAAAGGTCGCACGACATTTAGCATGGTCAGTTAGCACTGTAAGTTACAATTTATCTATAATTCTCAATAACATTTTACCCCGTGAAAGTTTATCTGTGTTGGTAGTTACATGTTTAAAGTTAAAACTTTTGGTCCAACACACAAAATTCTCTCACCTAGAGCTTTCCACCAGTCACTCTGGTCTTCCTCAGTAGACTGACCCAGTGAAGCTTGTCACGTGGCTGCTTTGAAGTGTGACGTCAACACTGGGTCAAAGGTATCTGGTCACACACTTCAAAGAAGCCATGTGACAAGCCTCACTGGGTCAGTCTACTGAGGAAGACCAGAGTGACTGGTCGAAATGCCTAGGTGAGAGAATTTTTTGTGTTGGACCAAAAGTTTTAACTTTAAACAAACATTTTACCTCACTGTGAACATCCTTCTTTAAACTGGGGAACCAAACTGAATTGCCCATTTAGCTTACATGTTTCATAGTGTCTATACTTGTCTATAATTATCATGTATAATTGGTAGCCGATCTATGTGATTGTCACAGTGCAAATAGTTATGGATGAAATATTTTTCATATACCTCACCAGAGAGTAAAGTAAAAGTAATGCAATGGATAGGATACCATATGTCTAGTAGTACATGAAAATCATAACATACCTCAGAAATTAGGATATATTATATCAGAGAGACATGTCCATATCCGTGTTTGTGTGTATTTATTTATCATAGCTACAGTAGGTTGTTTTTGGAGGTACATGTATATAGTAAGATGGCCTTGTGGTGAGGGTTCTGGGTTCGAATTGGTAATCTCCAAGCAGATCCCTCTAGGTGGCAAAAAGACAGTATCAAATTGGCCAGGTAGTATCCATTAGCTAGAGAAGCTCCGCGGCCACCGACGGGTTAGCGACAATAAAAAAAAACGGCCATATATAAAAAGGTAACGATCATTCCCCCACAACCTCTGCTTGGAGAGTATCGAACTGGCACGTGTTTCGCACGAGAATGAAGTCTTAGTGTTCTTTTCAACATGGAACATGTATGTTACAGCATCAGTATAGCGTTGCGACTATAACGTTACAAACCACATATTCAAAAAAAATTCATTCTCTATTTGTTTTCAGATTCAACCCATAGTAATTTAATTAATGTTGAGCATAAAATGCCCCAACACCTCAAAACACAGTAAAAAGCAAGCTGTTTAACGTCAACAGGATCATTCCGATGCCTTCCAGCCCTATGAAAATGAGGGTTACCCCCGCGTTTTCGCGTTGCATTCTGAGGATGGGAAACTCGTGAATTGGAAGGCCGAGGTCGTCCATCTCCTTCTACTGCTTTTTACCTTCCCAGCCAAAATGCATTTCCCAATTAAAAGGACACAATGTCTATTTATATAAACCTGATTGAGATGTGTCTCTCCTCAAACACAGGTCCTTCGACTTTATATATATATATAATTTACTAGCCTCCTGTGCAGGCTCCGGGCGGGTGGGAGTTTTGATACTGCGTTTTTATAGAGTTTTTAACGCGTTATTTCAATATTGCCGGCCATCCTACAACCAGCCTCGACTTTACGTCCTATCCGAGAGGACGTCCCTAACCGAAGCTAGGTACTCATTTTCACCTGAGTCTGGTTAGGAAACAGATGTAATCTACCTTTCCGAAGGGTACAACACGGGGCCTGCCAATTCGAACCCAGAACCATCAGAGTGGGGTCGTATGGCGTGTCGAGTGCTCGACTCGGAACCAAGAGGTCCCGGGTTCGAGTCCTGACATGCCACCGATCTTGTGCCCCTGTGAAAGGCACTTTACACGACTTTTCTCACTTAACTCGAGTGAAAATGAGTATTGTCTTGTCCTGTATTTGTACTCTGTGTTGGTGGCGGCATAAATAAGTTGATATAACTTGAGTGTGCCGTCGCCAAGTTTGGTCATGAATTGTTGGAATAAATAAAAAAACCTTCAGAGTCATGAACCCCTACCACAAGGCCATCTTACTGTATACATGTACCTACAAAAAGGGACAAGCAAAGAGGTTATAACCTCCTCAGTACGAGTAACTTCGGGACAATCCACGTACACATTAACGCAAATATCGCCGCAAACAGGAAGACATTATATATAGATTCATAATCATATGGATAACAGTACCTCTTGGGATCCCAAGGCTAAATCCTACGTATTGCGCTGCGGGATAGCTCTGCATGAGCGAACACATCTCCCTCAACTGACAGATTCTAAATTAATGTCTTTGTAACGTCTGCCCATGGTTAATTCGCTGGCTTTGTAAAAAAGATATCGACATCGAAGGTCTATGGCTTAGAAATCGTAAACATAATTCTGCTGAAAGCGTATCCCCGTATTTGGTAGGATACATTTGAGGCATTTGATTCAACAAATGTTACTTCAGTTCAGAACTTATATAAGAACTGGAATGACCCTGCAAGATTGTAGGGTTCAACTACCTGAAAGATGTCTGGCATTTGAATATCGCTTGCGCGCGCCTCTCATAAAGTGAAAGTCTAGGAACTTACATGTTGCAAGACCTTTTATACGACAGATATTTTTTAATCAATTTTGAGCTTTGCCTATACTGAGCGGGAAGAACCCAACTATTTTACATATTTGTGTGCTTATGCAGAAGCTACTGTACGTAATCCATATGTGACAGTGACTATCGCGACGTGAAAGTACAAAAATACATTTTATCTAAATGAAAATTAGCGGAAATCTCACTACATTTGTGGCGGACTCTCAGAAAAATAAAGGTATTGACACAACAGACAGATGTTGTATCTTAAGCTTTCAAAATGGACGAAATTTTGAAAAAGAGGAGTTGATGATTATATTAGAAAACGTCTTTAAAAGGTGAAAAGGAAAACAAACCACAGTTCTGAAAAATTCATGTTGCCCCGCTTAATTAGCACAAAGAGTACAATGATGCTGTGTAGCCTCGAGTCTAGCATAGAAACGGTGATTGCTTTTCGAAGACATCACAGAGAACTCCTGGGGATGAACTGGGCTGAAGTGAATATAAATTGCGCTTATATATTTATAAATTATATATTATTTGGCATAGTAACGCCCGCCGCCGGCAGCAGTGCAAAATAATTACTAATTCAGCGGGCTCGTGACTGTGTTTGGAATCGTATAGAATCATATACAATCTGCGGTCTATTAAAACTTTAATGGAACAGCTACTGCTGTAATGATAATGTAATTATAATAATGATAAATCAGTAGCACTTCCTTTGGTCAGAAACCGCCTAGGCTTGTAACAAACCTCCTTATGCTAAGCCTAAGGCCAAACTCGTTACCATCAAGCACAGTTGGGGCATCAAAGAAAATGTTGACTCAATGTGCAAAGATTGGGTGTAACAAGTCGTTTGGTGTAAAAGATCTGCTAGGGCGGTCCTGGCTTTACAGGTACAGGGCGTTTGAATCCTGACATGCCAACGATCTTGTGCCTTTGGGAAAGGCACTTTACACGACTTTCCTCACTGAACTCAAGTGAAATGCGTATTGTCCTGTCCTGTATTTGTCCTCTGTGTTGGTGGCGGCATACAATAAGTTGATATAACTCGAGTGTGCCGTCGCCATGTTTGGTCATGAAATGCTGGAATTAAAGTAAATGCTGAACCGGCCATGTAAAAAGAACTCAGGTAAAATATATCGCAATAAAACGTATAGATCATGCTAGCTTTTATGTTTAAAGCTGTTCCTGACCAAATACACTGCAATGCAATCATAAATCAATTAGCGCCCCGCTGGTACTAGTGAGAACCCCCGTAGAAACGAAGCTATTGTGTTGGGTGTTTGCGTGTGCCTACGTGCGTGTGTTGGTACAGTTGAGTGACAGTAGGTAGCTAAAAACAGATTGCTTCAAGGAAGGTACAATGTACGATGTACATGTAGCATGAAATTTACACGACTTTCCTCACTTAACTCGAGTGAAAACGAGTATTGTCCTGTCCTGTATTTGTACTCTGTGTTGGCGGCGGCATAACATATTCCAGCATTTCATGACCAAACATGGCGACGGCACACTCGAGGTTTATCAACCTATTTTATGCCGCCACCAACACAGAGTACTCTTGGGACATATTAAGTCTATTTTTACCTGGAGTCTTTTTACATGGCCGGTACAGCACTTTTTTATTCCAGCATTTCAGGAATATCATTTGAGGAAAGTCGTTACACAGGCAGAGAGTCTGTTGGGATGTCGGTACTATTGGGAAAATGTATAAAAGAAGTAGAAAGGTCGATGAGTTTTCGATTATAAAAATAAAACTTAGGTAGAATCTGCAAAGCAAATGTATAATGTTTACCATCATATTGTCTCAAACACACACACAAACACACACACCACACACACACACACACACACACACACACACACACACACACACACACACACACACACACACACACACACACACACACACACACACACACACACACACACACACACACACACACACACACACCACACACACACACACACACACACACACACACACACACCACACACACACACACACACACACACACACACACACACACACACACACACACACACACACACACACACACACACACACATACGGCAAATAAATCTGAACTTAAAATAACTGTATGGAATGGAAGGATGTTACATCAGCTAAAAGACCAGCTGGGTTTTGTTTCGTTGATTTTCTCTCTGATTTTTGTAAAATTCACAGCAAAAACATTATCCTAGCTAGTGTTACTAAGGAAGTGTTTTATACAGTCGACATTTCGGTGACCGGCCGTCTTCAATAGACACAGCCGGTATTGCAGCATCACCTGTGCTGTGCAACGTGAACCAGTCAGAATTGCCCTGAGGAAGGTGACAGACGGTCACCGAAATGTTGGCTGGATATACCTCTTGGTTGTGTATAAAGACTCTCTTTTGATGTTACATCAAGTATGTTGAGTTTAATTAACGTCTCTATTAGA